GCTATTTCCATAAATCTCCACATGATCAAATATCTCCAAAATCGTTCTCATGTCACAAACTAATCATTTAAATTCCCGTTAAATGTTGGCCCTCGGGGTGTGAACAGTGTCGGTGAACAGTACCCCGACGTGAACAGTAACTCCACTCCCACAAATTGGCCAAAACACTAACTAATCTCACCGGATTTTCCTCCAAAAATCACATAGCAGTCCATTAACAATCAATCATATAAATTCCACTTGAATCAAGCTAAATCATGGTCTAATTACTATCAATTTCATCCCCATTTTCTAGCCAAATTCAGACATCACAAAGCAACCACTAATCAACCAATTTTCGAGAATTAGAGAAGCCAACCTACCATAAATTTTCCAGTTGCAGAACCGGACTTGGCAGGGGGGAGAAGCCGGCAGCAAGTGCAAGGAAGAACCTCACGGATCTACCCAAAATTGGAGGAACAAGAGCAATTAAAGTAAACCCAAGCCACTTCAAGCAAGAACAAAGGAATTAGGGGCTGTTCTTACCGAAAAAAATGCTCAGAAATCACCCACAATCAAGAGCAGCCTGCGAAAGGACAAAGCAGAGCAGGGCAGATCCGGCTTTTCCAGTAGGGGGGAAAATTTCTGGGTTCCAAATCAGGTTCTTGGACAAGAAAGAAGGAGAAATTCCAAGCTTTCTCACCAATTTTTCAAGGCATGGCTGGGTTCCTCTTTTTTTTTCTTTCGAGTGGCTGCAGCGGGAAGAAAGAAGAAGAAGAGCAGAATCGGGCAAGGCTGGGAAGAAAAGAAAGAAAGAAAAAGAAAAAGAAAAGAAGTCATCTTTATCCAAAATCTTTCCCTCTTTAAGTCCTTCAATTTTTGAAATATTTACATTAGGCCCCAAAACAATCTTTTCTCACAATCAAGTCCTTAACTTACACTTAAATATTCCCAAAATTTGGGATATTACACATATCATACTAGAATTTTTTTTAAAATTAAAATCATCATAAATTAGCAAATATATCTTTTAAATAAAAAATTGTAATGAAAGTTTGATTAGTTAGTTTGGGGGGGAGGGGGGTGCGGGCAGGGAATAAAAGCGAAAAAGGAGTGCATGCTAGGCTGAAATCAAATTTAATGAAGGATGGTAAAAAATGTTGCGCTGAAATTAATTAATATAGGGAGAAAGAAATTAAAGTAAAATGGTAGATTTACCAAATAAAGGAAAGTATTGACATATGACAACAAAAGAGTATATTAAAGAAGGCTTATAAAAGTAACACGTGGCATATTTACCTTAAATGATTTCTGCTTTAGCATATATAGATTTAATGAAGGATGGTAACAAATGTTAGGCTAAAATTAATTAATATGGGGGAAAAGAAATTAAAGTAAAATGGTAGATTTACCAAATAAGAAAAGTATTGTTATGTGGCAACAAAAGAGTATATTAAGGAAGGCTTGTAAAAGTAACACGTGACATATTTACCTTAAATAATTTCTGCTTTAATATATATAGATTTAATGAAGGATATTAAAAATGTTAGGCTGAAATTAATTAATATGGTGAGAAAAAAACTAAAGTGAAATGGTAGATTTACCCAATAAGAAAAG